AATTTCCTCTAGATTTTTAAATAATTCCAAATGCCCTCAATTTAATCTATGTTAGAGAACATGCCAAGGCCTATCCAAATATCACATTACATCATGATTTCATGTTTGCCGTCACCATGTGAATTAAACTTTCACAAAAGATAAATATTAAATAAATTTTGTAATTCTTATCCAAATGCCCCAAATTTAATATATGATAATCAACATACTAAAACTTAATTTCCTAGCATGCCACAATTTAATTCCATGTTATACACAAAGCCATATGAATTAAATCTCAAATATATAAATTAATTAAATTAAATTCTAAATCTTAAACAAAACATGCTCACAAATTGTATATGCTCATATAACAATCAATACAACATAAATATAATCCTAAGACACCCCCTACCTCAATTTGAGATAAAAATATCAAAAGTCATCAAAACGAAACGGCTCTGAATCCGACAAAACTCCTAGGTTTTGTCGGGGACAACACGATCTATATGAATCTCCAAGAAGCCCCATGAAAATCCAAACTTGGCCTAAATCCCACACTCAAAATTTAGTGAGAAATGGTTTCTAATAACGAGGAATGGTAGAGCACGACGAGGCGAGCAACAAATGCAAAGGCCGAAGGATTTTCACTTAGGAAAAGTAAGTTAAAGGAGGAGAGAGAAGATGGCAGCTCCATGGGCATCCATGGCTGTCTTTGGTCGTGCAAGGAGAGGAGGAAGAAGAAGAAAATCAGATTTTTCTTCTTTAAGGCACCTATTTATAGTAAATCACAAAAAGTGTTCCAAAAGGGCCCCCGTCGAGTCCGGAAAAGTGGATTTTGAGCAAACGAGCTCAAATGGAAAAACTCCATGAACGAAAAAGATTCAAAATGAGAAAATATGAACAACAGAAGAAACGGCGTCAAAAACCAAGTCCCAAGCAGAAAGTTAGGCCCCGAACAAGTTCGGCGGCAACTAGGTCCAAAAACTCTGAAACTGGAGAAAAATGACCAGAACGGAATTCTATGAATTTACAAGTCCACAAAAAGTGAAAATGAATCCCATATGAGAATCTAGGCTCCAGACGAGACATTTTGCAATAACTTTGGTTAATTGCACAATGGCCCCTACAAAAAGGGTTAACTGCGAAACTGCCCCAGAATAAAAATATCTTCCACAAAATATTTTCTTAGATGCCCCTGAAATAAAATATCTTCAAAAGATATTTATGAAAAGTACCCCAAAAAATGAAATTAATTCTAAAGATTTATGCATCCATACCCCTATGGGCACTGGAAGCAACCAGAGTACTTTCTTGCAAAAGTAAAGATACGTATTTCGTGGAAACCACTCACGATAAGGATACATGAAGTCAAAAACCAACTTCGAGCACAAGAAGTGAGGTTGTGCCAAAAACTGACAAACGGAGATCAGACGAAATAGGGAAAATGACAGAATAGGAAAAAGACGAAATAGAACATAGTGTCCAAAAACGAAAAGTGCGAAAATGACTCGGTCCTCAAAGGAAGTTGTCAATTCACATGAAAGAGTCTCAGAAACCAATTCTGAGCACTCGAGATGACACTAAGCGACGAAAAACCATCCACAGAAAAGAAAAGACAACGGAAAAAATTTATCCGCAAAATTTGAGGAAAAAGGGAAAGGAAGAAAATGACTGGGTCATTACAGTTGTGTACTAGTTTTCCGTAATTGACGCTAAATGCATTTAGGTGACAAAAAGGAATAACAGAATTCCACTTAACATGGTTAGATCTATGATCAGTTATGCCACATTATCTCTTTCATTTAAAAGTTTAGCGTTAATGACGTCAATGCGCATTATGAACTGCATTCCATCTTAGTCTGTCTCAAGGATATCGTTGAGCTGTGTTTTTTTTTTTTTTACTAAATCTTAGTTTGAATCAAATCTTAGTTTGAATCACATGCATATATGGGGTAGTCTTGCACATGTGCGCTTGATATAAATAAGTAAGTTAGAAGCAGATCATATGCATGATTGATTTGATAGCTACTCTAAAGGCATTAGGATGGATTATTTTATGATCTCAATGATAAAAGTTGATTTTTTACACTCACTGTTTATCTATAGGATGATCATATTATGAATTATATACTTAGTAACATAATGTGTGAGAATATGGTATTAGTACCAGTTTGTACCACAAGATGAACACACTTATTATAGAAATTAAGAGTTATAGATGAATTCCCTATTGATGCATCAGCATCATATAGTACATAGATTCCTGCATCGGTACATTGATGTAGTGGGAGAATAATCATCCAATCTGACAGAATCATGTTTTTAGGTAAGACCTTTACGGATATCCCTGTTAAACATGAGTTGGACCCAGTAAGCTACACGGAAGCGTGAACCGATATGGATATAGATCATTTTAGCAAGTTGCTATGAAATCAAAGTTGGAATCTATGTATTCTAATAAAATCTGGGATCTTGTAGAACTTTCTAGTAGGGTGATACCTATAGAAGGCAAGTTAATCTACAAAAGGATACCAGAAGATTTCTTATTGAATAAATTATGAGTGTACAAGGGAATGTCATTATTTTTCTAATTCTATATATATTGATGACATCCTACTCATTTAGAATGATGTGGAAGTTTTATCATCAGTAAAGAGGTAGTTGTTCAATTATTTTAAAATGAAGGATTTTCAAGATGTAAGCTATATTCCTAGGATCAAGCTTTTGCAAGATCAGGTTAAAAGGAAAATAGGCTTATCTTAATAATCCTACATTGATAAAGTTTTGACCAGGTTTGGTATGTATAACTCAAAGAATGAGTTCTTGCTTTATTGATATGGATTGCTCTCTCTAGTAAGTAGTTTTCCAAGACTAGCAGAGGAGATTGAGTAAATGAGACTGGAACTATATGCTTTGACATATGGGAGTCTCATATATACCATGGTCTATACCAAACATGACATCCGCTACATTGTAGGGATAGTCAGAAGATATCAGTCCAATCCTGGACTTGATAACTGGTCTGTTGTGAAAAATATCATTAAGTACCTTAGGAAAACCAATGATCTCATACTCATTTATGGATGTGATGATGTGGTTCCAGTTAGGTATGATAGTTTTGTTTTCAAATCAAAAGTTGATACTGTGAGGTTCATAACTTAGTGTATGTTCACTCAATGGAAGGGAAATCAGTTAGTAGATTGTTAATCAGATTTCAACTGCTGACTCAAACCTGTAGGGGGAGTATATTGCAGCCTTAAAGGCAGCAAAGGAAGTCTTTTAGTTTGATCTCACTGATTTAGAGGTTGTGGAGCATACTAGCCTGCCTATCGAGCTATATTGCGACAATAGTGCAGAAGTAGTCCAAACCAATGATCCAAGGTTCCATAGAGGAACAAGGTACACTAAGAGGAAAGTATCATGTCCTACATGATATTGTCCGCAAGAAGATATGCTCATGGCTAGAACATTGCATTGGAACACAACTTTGTTGATCCATTAATAAAGGTATTATCGGTCAATAGTTTTGATCATCGCCTAGATAACATTGGAGTTAGATGCAATTTGAATTGGCTATGAGGGAAAGTGGGAGCTGTTGGGATTTATATGCCCTGGCATAGCAAATTCCTATTTGGATTATAGTGACATATGTTCCTGACGTTTCTGAAATATTTATGCTTTATACAATTAGTGAATTCAATATATTATGTTTCGATTCATTATAGAATTGATAGTGTCCACTTGATTACAAGAGATATTTATAGATGTATGTGATGGCAATCAATACATGAATATAAATAGTAATCATAAATTGTTCATAGTCAGTAATTATGGATGAACTCATAATTAATTAAGACTTGAACTGGATCCACGTTAGGTTGAGATATATTGCGAGAGCCGTCGTATGCAATTACTCCCTATCTCCGTCATGGAATTTAACTCTTAAGCATGAGAGAAATATAGACTTTTTTATTAATTAGTAATTACTTTGATTTGTTTGGCGGAATCTTCGGAATCCTTAGACCGACACTTTGGGTAATTATATAATTAATAGTTAGAGGGTTATATTTTCAATATTTGCATCATTGCTACTTGTATTTATTTTGTATTGATTATGGTTGATCACAAAGTAAATTCGAAGGCCTTCGTGTGTTTTTAGACAAAATGATTTATTATATATTTATTTATTTAAATTATTATTTTTGTCAAATAAATGTTTTATTGTGATCGAGCCAGAAATAATTAATGGTACCAAAATAAATATATTGATTAAGTAGTCGGATTAATGACTTTATTTATCCGATAACTAATTATGCATAGAGGGGTCAAAGTGTAATATTGACTTAGAAGGTTATTTATTATTTAATTGGAGTTCAATTAATTTCTTTTAGTGGAGTAGAAATTAATTTATGAATTAATTGAATTGGGTCCATGGACCAGGCCAATTATTAATTCATTATAGCCAATAAAATAATAAGCCTAAAGGATTCTCACTCATAGTCCAACTTGATATTAGAATCCTATTAGATTTGAGACATGTGAATTAGAGATTGAGAATGATTTATTGTTTTCTTTTCTTTATCTTTATGTTGTCTATATATATACATGGTCTATGTATATTTTAGGGGGTGATTTTTTTGAAGAAGGAAAGGAATATATTTTCTCTCTCTAGAAAATTAGGGTTAGTGTTCTCATCAAATGGAGGCTCCCACAAGCCTATTTTTCCAAGGTCGTTCATGTAGGCTTATGAGTGATTCCTAAAGGTGAAACAATTAGCAAGAAGATGGTGATCCAAGGAGAAGGCATTTTGCTAAGGGATTTACAATAAGTGAAAACATTCACTTTAGAGGAAAGATTTAAAGGTTTAGTTAGACCTTTGATGTAAGTATTCAATCTGTTAATTGAATGATACTTTATATTTTATTTTTTGCATAAAACTTGTCTCTATGTGATGAATCAAGATCTGTGAATGAAAATCCCTCGAAAAGTTTTTAAAATAACACGTTTCCCAACAAGACCTTCATAAAAATTTTAACCAACGGCTCCAATTTGCAATGGGCTGCTGCAGCTCCAAGCTTCCGAAGACTGATCCCCCATGTCGAACATCAACTCCATCATCCTACATTTTAGAAGATCTCTCTAGAATAAGCATCACTCCATACCAAAAAGACTACAATGAGGTACAAGGTCTTCGATTGCACTTCTGGATTTTCTTCTCTCTCCCCCATGGCTCGAACTCGTTTCCAGTTAGCTCCTTAAACAGCCTAGAAAACTCCTCCACAGCGCTGTCCACGATACCCCATTCCTCAAGCCTTTCCTCTGCTCTGGCATCATTGCCAACTTGTCCTTTTTTGTAGTACATGTACAAGCCACTCTCGGGTACCGTAATCAGTTGCACGACACAATAACTGCACAAATAAACTCAGATACCAATTATTATGAAAAATAATAATATAATAATAATAAATAAAATAGAGAATTCAGAAACTGGAAGAACCAAGAGAAAAGTTTGTGCGCTACTCGTTAACTCTGCGTGCTCGGTCACAAACTGAAAAGGCACAGTTGAACAAAATCCCATCTTTTTCCATGATTTTTCCACCTTGATCTTCCAACTTAGTGTCCTTGTGGACAACTCTCTTTCCGTACAAATTGATCTGCACAACACACAAGTCACCATGGAAAGTTAAATTTAGTAGCAAACAAGAAATTAATTTATATAGGACTCTCTTAGTAAGGATACTGTACTTCTGCTGAAATGGATTCAATTGCCTCTTCGCTAGAAATTCCTTTTCCATATACTAAAAGGTCATTGACAAAATCATAAGCGTTGAGAGGCTGAGCTTCCTGTTTCTTGATGCTATCAATCAACCATGCTTCCCTTACCATCGGTATGCCTCTCTCTTTAATGGAAGTTTCAATGTCAGAGAAATGCGAACAAGATTCATACCATTTGCAATGATAAACTAAAGAAAAATACAGTGTTAACCACTAAGAAATATATATATCAGTGGTTCCTCCAAAAAACACATTTCACTAAACAATTAACTTCAGATCAATCCAACAACGAATTGAACAAGTGACCGACTAAATGACCACAAAAATAGTCCTACCAAGTGAGACTAGTTGTGATGTTTTCGATTTTCGCCATTTTTTATATTTTATTTTTCTTATTTTTTTGGAATTTTTGTCGCTGCAAGGGCAATTTCGTCTTTTCACATTTTTCGTACCGGACACCGTGGGGTGTGCCGGGTGTGTCAGTGAGTTGGTTGGGACATTTCATTGAGTTCTGAACTCTTTGAAATGCAAGGGTGATCATTTCTACATTTTTTCGCTTTTCGGGTCGGACAGTCCTATGTGGGACCCACTGCCGGGATTGTTGCATACGGGTATTTTGATTGGGTTCATTTGCATCATATTTATTTTTAATTATTGTGTTTTAAGTGATTATAAATTAAATATATATTTATGAGTGTATGTGGTGAGAATTAAAAAAGAAAAGAAAAAGAGAAAATAAAATAAAATAGGTGGGACCCACCATTATCTCACAAAAAGGATGAAAGACCACATTTTGGTCTCATTTTCTCAATTCTCTCTCTCACTCCTGAAACCTTCTCTCTCACCCTCTCAAAGTTTCAGTTTCTTTTTCTTTTTGCTTTTAAACTTCAAGCTTAGATTTCTCCTTCAATACTTGGTGTTTTTTAGTGTCGTTTGCGGCAAATTGAAGCTCACGACGAGATCTACGAGTTGATCAGAGCCAATCTTCATTTGGCCACCATTTGGGAAATCTCTAATCCTAGGGTTTGAGGTGAAAATTGGGACTTTTGGCTTAAATTGAGGTAGGGGTCTCTAATTCGCATTTTTCTTGTTCCTTTGTGAGTCAATTTCTATTAATTGTTGTTAGCATGATTAATTGATGATATTAGTATGATTAATTGATGTTAGTAGCGTGATTAATTGATGTATTAGCATGATTAATTGATGTTAATTACCCTAAAATGATTTTATGGTAGTATATAAAGTTCATGATTATGTGTAAACATTGATTTGTATGAAAAATATGTCTAAGTATTGATTTCCTATATTTATTGTGTTGTTAAATTGCTAGAAGTGATGTATGCAAACATGTATGATCATCCTTGAAATTATGATAAAGAATGTTTTATTGTATTGTATGAAAATCTTGTATTTGTTGATTTACTTAGAAAGTATGCATAATGTGTTAATTTTTCTATGCCTATGATGCTTAATAATTTGTTAGAAATTTTATATGGAAGCATGTTAATTGTGTGATAATAATTGTCTCCATTTTCATAGTATTAAAAAGACTTGTGATATGCATACAAGCATTGGGCATGAAAGAAAAGGGAAAGTGTTTAGAAATGAAATTGAAAAGGGGATTTTGGGGAGAAATTTGAGAAAATGGTTTTGAGAAAACTCAGTCGCCGCGGAGTCACCAAAGGGCCGGTGTGTTAATATAGCCTAGAGGGAACTAGGGAGATTACCCTAGCGTGGTTGAGCTATCTGGGCCCCAAATAACGCTGCGGAGGTACCAAAGGTCAGGGACAGTAGCCAATCATTCTCCGTGTCGCTGCGGAGTTACCAAAGGGCGTGTTATATTAACAGTTTGTGAAATGATGGAAGTTTTCTGAAAAATGGGGAGTGACATGCATGACATTGCATTCATGGCACGGCATTCTTTTGTTTTGGATTTGAAAATGTATATTGTATTTTTTCTCAGCTTTATATAACCCCATTCCCTATTGTCCTATTCATTGTTTGGATTCACGGGGCCACAAGAGATGAGTCTTAGGCACTATCTACTAAGCAATTTGCTCACCCCGTTACATTTAACATTTTTCAGGACACGGATGGCAAGTGGCAGACGACGCTCCTCTACAGGGTTCGATGGGTTAGTAGACCATTTTGACATACTTTGTAATTATAATCTTATTTTATTATTATTAATTTATTTATTTATTATTACTTATTTTTTTATAAACCCGAAATGACATGTATACTATGTATTGACGTAGGAAATAGTGGTGTTGTTCCTGGTTGACCTCGGGTTCAGTTAAGGACTCGGCTAACGGTTCGGACCTACGGGTTCGAGTCGTTACAAAGATGGTGTCAGAGCAATGATTTGAATACCATTAGGACGATGGGTAGAGGCCTACCTAGGATTGCATGGGAAGTTGAATTGCATGATTATGTGCTACGTGTTAAAGTGTGTAAATGTTTGTGAAGTATGCTTACTTACTTACTTACTTACTTGTTTATTTACTTACGTGATCACATGCTTATATGTTATATGTGTGTATCACTGACTTACATGATTCATGAGTAGATGTTATGTTTTCAGTGTGTAATTGTTTAGCAGGCACGTTTTTATGTTGTATTAGTTCTACGAGTTGTCACCTACGATAGAGAAAGGTATCGGCGTTGTGAGCATGGGTGATGTGAATAGCACGATCTTTTGAGTCCGTTTTGATCTGGACGAATTCTTCCATTAGGAGTCTTTACCCAAAAGACTGGTAACGGTGGAAGGATTTGATCTTAGGTGTCTTCCGGGACAGAAGTTCTCATTTTCTTGCACGGGCGAGAGTTTGTGTTGTGTTTTTTTCGGTATAGTGAGTGGACTCTTGGGATGATGGTTTAGTAGGGTATGGTGTGTGAGTCATGGGACACTTTCATATAAACAAAGTTGATTAGATGTCACAAGACGTGAGGTGGTATATAGTCTATGACTTGTGAGGTTCAGGTGTTGTGCGGGTTGAGCAAGGTTTGTATTTGGGTTTTTATTTAGAAGTTCACTGAAAGGTTGTGAATTTGTCTCTCAGATAGCCGTTTTGGGAGTAAGAGTAGAGGTTGACATGGAATTAGTGACGAGATGAGTACGTTGCATTTCTGTTTTGACTTCTAGTGAGGAATGCAGAAGCTTAGTGTGGTGTTATTTGGTGACCATAGAGTGTTGGTCACAGATTGTGTTGAGCCAGGATGAGGAGTGACCTCTTTGGCTTGGTGGCCTGTTCTATTTGATTTCTGTATTTTGTAACCCTGTGGGCAGGTATGCGTGAGCATATGCAGGTGGCACCAGAAGGCTATCACACTGGGCAAGTTGCGGGCACACAACTCAGATGAAATCAATGTGGACATTCCATTGTGTTGGATGGTAGTCACGGCGATTGGTTAGGAGATGATAGTGTTAGAGGCGTAGGAGTTATATACCCTTTTGTTTAGTCGGATAGTTTAGTTGTAGGTATGACTTGAGTGCCCAGTTAGATACCAATGAGAGACCACTGTTTTGTAGTTGTCGTAGAGTGTAGTCTGTGTGGTTGACCATTTGGCGTGGTGTTTGTTATCCCTCTTAGGGATTGTTCCTGTAACGTTGCCGCATAGGATTTTTATTTTCTTGTAGCGGGTGTTGACTGATAAGCGCCGAATATTGTATATTCAAGCGCCCTAAATTGCATTAGTAAAGTCCATTGTATGTTAATTTATGTAGATTATCTTCATTTCTATGTTTTTATGCATTTTCAGGTTCATTGGCCAAAATGGAACAAGAATAAGGCCTTGTGGAATCTTGAGCAACAAAAGGTGCCAATGCTGAATTCTGGCAGCAGTAGAACCTGGGCTTTGCTCGCCATTTTGACCTTCCAAAATCGAGAACTGGACTTCCCTCATAACATAAAAGATTTAGAGCTCTGAATTGGCTTTCTAAATCTTCAAACGGTTTGTCATTCGGAGCTCGGAGCAGAGAGTTATGGCCTTGTTACCAGAGGTGCGCAGAACTGCCTGGCAGCAATGAAATTCTGCCTTGATCTTCATTTTCGACCAACCATCCTTGAGAATTGGATCTCCACTAAAACATGAAATATTTAGAGCTCTGAATTAGCTTTCTAAATCTTCAAACGGTTCATCATTCAGAGTTCGGAGCGCAAAGTTATGGCTGTTTAACCGAAGTAGGTCTGGGCGGAGCAAGGCAAGAATGGAGCATTCTGCTCCAATTTCGAGTGCTCGAGCCCTTATTTCGAGTGCTCGAACTTAGGGCAGAATTGCATCCGGAAATGGCCCATTTTCAGCCACTTGCATCTTGGGTTCCTCAATTCTAATTTCCCTCTTTAATGGTTGGTTGGAGATGTTGGTTGGTGGGGGTTTCTAGAGCCTTATCTCTAGAAGATAAGAGAGGGAAGCCACACAATATGATTGAGATTCATTTTACAAGATTAGAGGAGAGAGAAGAGAGCAAGAAGGGTGTGTTCTTGAAGCCAAAGGAAGGGAGCTCGAAAATGGCTTATTCTTCCAAGCTTCCTTCTTCTATTTTTGTATCCATGGATAACTAAACCTCCATCTAGGGAGGTGATGAAGCTCTCTCTTGTAAGCATGCTTTAATTTCATCTAATTTGGGGAATGATTCATGTACATGGTAGTTTCATGATTTAGAGCACTTACACTTGTTGTAATGGATTTCAATGCCTATAAATGATCATGTTGAGTTCATTATCTTGTCTTAGATTTTATCCTCTCATGATTATATAACTTGCATCTTCATAGTGAGAATGGAAATGAAATTGTGAAATGGGTTTAAAGGCATGTTGTATGAGAAATTTGTTAATCCATAGCTTAAGACTTCCTTTTGATGGATTAATCTTGTATCTTGACTTCATGTGCTATTACCATAGTGATTGAGGGGTTTGATGGTCCCTAGCTTAGTGAGCATGTTATGGCTACACCCTAATCTAGGTAGTTCTAGCATGTGGCTCTTTGAGGGATTATACTTAAATCTTGATCCTATGATTTTCTTAAGGATAATGTAGCAATCTAGTATTACTACATATCATTGCCATGTAGTGAAATTGTTTCCCAAGTTAATAGAAATTTAGTATGTTTATAGGATTGGT